CTTCCGGACAAAATGAAGCATGCACGTGTAGCCGTTACACATAAAGGTGGCCCAGTTGACGATTTATACAGCTAGAAACCTATTTCTGTGCTTTCAGTCTTCGCGAAGGTAGCTGAACGTATTATAAATAAGACTTGTCAGTTTCTTGAACTCAAATAAGATTATAGTAAAAGAACAATTCGGTTTTCAGAGGAATAAGTCCCCAGAAATTGCACTTATTGGAATAAAAGAACAAATTCTTGAGAACATAGAACGTAAAACCTGTACACCTGGCATATTCCTTGACTTTAAAAGGGCCTTCGATTGTGTTCAACATAATATACAGGGTGTCACAAAAGAAAATTTACACGGTCTTTTTTACCACAAAACTAAACTAGGCATCGCCGAACGCTCATTCTCCGCCCAAAGGTAGAGCTAGAGGTCACAACCCAGATGCCAAAGTTTCAGCCTGATCCGATAACTTGATCAAAAGTTATAAGCGATTTTCTGAAAATGTCAATGGGAAAATGGCGGCCGACGGAGTTTTCAAACACATGGGGCTCTATGGCACCAGAAACCGAAAACGGGCGAAAATGGGATCCATTTTCCCATTGAAATTTTCAGAAAATCACTTATAACTTTTGATTAAGTTATCGGATCGGGCTGAAACTTTGGCATATGGTTGTGACCTCTAGCTCTACCTTTGGGCGGAGAATGAGCGTTCGGCGATGCCTGGTTTATTTTTGCGGTAAAAAAGACCGTGTACATTTTCTTTTTGTGACACCCTGTACTTTTAAGAAAACTTCCGTTATGGGAAGCACGTAGAGTTGCACTGAAGTTGATAGAAAATCTATCTCACTTCTAGAACACAGTATTCAGTAATAAACGGTGTAAACTCAGAACTTCAATACGTCAAATATGGGGTATCCCAAATATTACATTCTTGGTCCTATTTTATTTTTGTTATATACAAATGGCATCGTAAATATACACGGTATTTCGAACATCGTCCTATATGCCGACAATACAATTTTTTTTTTCTGGAGTAGACACACATGAATTTTTCAAAAAGGCAAAAAATTCGTTGTCATGTTTAGACTCGTGGCTTAAATCAAGCTTTCTTTAAACGTAGGTAAAACAAAGTACTTACTGTTTAGACCAAAAGGAATGACGCCATACCTGCAGATTTCAAATTAAAATTTCAATACTTTCTTATTGAACAGTTATCAACGATTAGATTCTTGGGAGTTTTATTTCATGGAAATCTATCATGGACGGCAAATATTGATTCTATGAGAAAGAATCTATGCCGAGCTGTACGTGTTTTAAACAAGTTAAGATGTTATCTTCCAACAAAAGTGAAACGTCAAATCTATTTTGCCCTCGTGCAATCTCGCTTTAAGTTACTGTCTTTTAGTTTGATCAACCACGTCCCAAGCCAGCTTAGACTGTCTTCTATCCATACAAACGCGACCACTTGGTAACGTACAACTTTTTGGAAGTTGTACGTAAGAAATCTACACACATAGAAACTGTCACTCGAAGTTTGGCGTAAATTTCAATCAGACAAATTATTGTTTACTGTGCTACACAAAAGTTGACCCGTATAACTGAAGGCAAAACTTAATAGTTAAAAGTCGTTCATGCAGAAATGGAGATTAGAGGTTTTTAAGTTCTCTGATACCCAGACCTTTTAAATAAATACCCAATTATTTTAGATATTCTAAATAGCGCCAAATCACACCAAAATTAGAAAAGAAAATATAAAATACCTTGTAGTTACAGAGCAATAAAGCCACCGTGACATAATTTGTAAATTTTTAAAGAGTAATGATGTATGGTTGTACATTGCAAAAGTATGTATTTAAAATCTGTTTGAAGCAAAATGAATAGTATACCTGAATTTCAAATTCCTGTTTCGCCTGCTGTTCTTTTTTTTTTTTAATGCCTTTTATTTTTTAAGGGAACTCTCTATGAATTTTATGTTTGCATCCGCTGGTGCTAAGAAGATGCCATGGCCCCGTCAGGCACTCAAAGTGCCTTTGGTCGTGCCCTCCGAGACATTTCTGTACAAGGTTGTCTGGAATAAATAAAGTCAGACTCAAACAACTCCATTAGGGGACAGGGTGCGTGTGATTGGTCCCTCCTCGATCCGATGCGCTGCAATGGCATTCATGTGAACTTAGCCAGAGTGGCACTGGAATGAGTTTGACTGTGTTATGAGTCACCCAGACATCCGTGCTTCGTATGCCGCGTGCCAAGATATATATATGCTGCACGGATTGTTTGGCACGCTTCATATTGGCGACGTGCACGATCGAAAGCGTCACCGTGGTCGGCCTTCCACGATTGGCCGAATGCTGACTATGACGTCGGCAAAGGATTTCCCATCGACAGAAATAAGAGGAATGTAAGAACTTCAATTTTAACGGTGATGGCAGTGTTGGTTTCAGAGTGCTATGATTTCGAGCTTCCACCATGCTATTTACCAACACCCTCGAACTTGTTGTTCGCAAGGTCATGACGTCACGAGAGGTAACCATACGAGGGCGCCACAAAAGCATCTCGCCACTAATAGGGGTTACTCACTGGACGCCATATTTGAGGGCATGCTCAGAAAGAGCCCACATTAATAGGCTGCTGTGACCGGCAATCTTAATGGTGTGGAATGCACGTTGCAAAAGAACTGTGGAAGCTTGTCGTCAGCACGCGCTCAGCAGTCGCGACTTTACAACAACCCGAGCTGCAAACGCTGGCAGTTTGGAATGAGTCTTCGCTGAACAAGTCAGCACTCCTGTCCAAATCAGATGGTTTTATCCGAGCAAACCGGTTAACTCCGTTCTCTCACTACCACCCGGCAACTCTACATCTGCACATCGGGTAACGAGCTTTTTTTTTTCTTCCTTTTTTTTTTTTTTTTTCATAAACAAATGTAATTTGCTCCTAAATAAAAGAGGAAGAAAAAAAGAATACGCAAAGTAAAAGGAGCGAGAAGAAAACGGACTCCTTATCAGCAGGAAACCCCTTACTTCTTTGTATGTCTGGGTTGTACTTCGCTTTGAATACCCGCTCTGAGAGACTACTAGTAAACACCCGATAAGCAAATTAACCGCTTGTTCCCGCGGCGCTCGTTAAAGTCTGTCGAGTGCCCCGTCGTCCACGCAGCTCTCTGTGGCCGCCGTCACTGTACGCCGGAGGAAGCAATGAAGGTTTTTCTTCCAATTATTACCTTCTAAATAAAGTTTTCGTTGTTATTACACAGCCTTTGGTCTAGCTAGCTTGTCTCGTCTCTTGGTTCGTCCTCGTTTTAGTTCGCGCAAGTTTTTTTGCTGTTATTTTGTTAACAGTTTTTAACGGAGCTTTCATTGTCTGTAGTTCCCCTTCTAAAAAAGAGAAAGGTCTATCCCTTATGTGAGAGAACACACCAGTTCCTGACAAAAAAAAAAAAAAAAAAGTTTACTTTGTATTATGTTCTATGTTGAGTTTTTATGCTGTTGATGGGCGTAACTTTGTATATGTGGAACAGAAAAGGGAGCGAGGGGCTTCGTGAAGTTGTTAAACGGCGCTTTCCAACTTGCTTCCGCCATTCATGCACTGCAGTTAATGCTGACAGCCTGAGCAACGAAGGGGCGCGGCTTATTATATGGTCGTTTCTTGCTTCATTCTTGGCTGCTCTCATCAGCGAATGTCGCAATGTCATTGACTGCGAAGCGATCGTAAGATGATCGGGACTCACCCCGCTCTGCTTTCCCAAATTAAGAATAACTATTTTAAAAAAAAAATTATGGCGCCAACTAGGGCATACAGAGAAAGCTCCACCTCCAAAAAAAGATTAGTACGAAAAAAAAAACATATATAGCCGTTTTTTTATTAAGTTGCGGGCATAGTTGTGTTTTCGAGAATCGATTGTCCAAAACGTCGAACTTGACCTCATGGCCGCCTCGCGCTCGCCCGCTCACGTCGCCCGCCCGGATTGTGTAGCACACAACATACTCCAACCAGCGCGTGAAAATGACGTCCTTCCTCCGCCCGCCCCGCGCAACAACGAGACTAATAATAATGCGGAGGGGTGCAAGACGTCGTGAGCGAGAAAGCGAAGACACAAGCTCCCGCCGGTGACCGTGAACGCGGCGGAGAAAACGGGCCGGTCGGGAAGGGAGAAGCAGCTCGCGCAGACGTGCGGACAGACACGGCGACGCTAGCTCCGCCGACGCCGCCGCACTGAGGAGCACGATATTGATTCGACGTCCTTGGCAGTGAAAGCCCTCCGCTTCCACGGGCAGGGGAGGAGGCCGCCGCAGGAGCAGCGCCGGGGTCGCCGCTTTTGTCAACAACCCGCACTGCCGTCGGCCCTCCAGCGTGGCCCACCCCTCTCCTTCGCCCCTTCTGCCCAGTCGGTCAGTGTCTGACTGACAGCGTTTTCTCGGTCTCTCGGCGGACTGGCCCAACTGGTCCCAGAATCGGCCATTGCGTCAACGACTACGTTCCTAGAGTGCCGGCGGCTCTGGAACAGCTGGGCCGGCGCGGTACGTGTAGTACCGCTTCGACAGGGGAGGTCGGAACCTACGTTCGCGCAACCCTATCCTGTCGAACGAAAAAGCTGTTACCTGGCATACCGAGAGGCGCTGTGTCGTCGGATCCGTTCGATGTGGCTCCGCGGCAGCAACGAGCTTTGCTAACCTGGACCGAGTCAGTCTTTGTGGGGGTTCTCGATCGGTACTGAAGGACCGAGATCACACACGCGAACACACTAACGGTTCCGGCGGTAATACGAGAGGGAAGGAGATAGAGAGGTCTGCAGTTCGTGGATTGTTTTCGGGGGCCACGTTCTATCGGGAGATGTGACCTTGAATTCGGCGCCGGTTATTTTTGGGAGGCCGCCGAATAACGCTGCTTCGGCTTTTGTTGGCTTCGCCGGTCGGCGTGCGTTTCTCCGACGAGTGCAAGCCTCGACAGCTCGCCCCAGTGCATCTGGGGAACTGTGGCACTGCTCGTAAGTACCACTAAACAAAGAAATGAGGCAGTTTCAGTTTTTTTTTTTAAACATCCGCTTATGTTTTTATTGGACAATAAATTTATGCTCCTGCGAAAGGTTTCAGGGTGAAAAATAATGCGTCCCATCTTTTTGTCTGCTTCGAGCAATACGGAATGCTTGTTCCAAAAAAAAAAAAGGGGGGGGGGGGGGGGGGATTACAAAAAAAAAAAAGGTCCCATGCATTTTTTTTTTTTACATTTTCTTTTGCAAAGGCGTTAGAAAATACACCCCACGGAACTCTAATGTGCAGTCGTGGAAGAGTATCTTGTATGTTCTGTGCACATCACACCGTCACGCAAAAAGAAGTTTTGTGCCGAGTCTCTTCGAAACACTTTTTTTTTTTAGTTCTACACCTTTGCGTCAGCATACGAATACAAAATAGTCGCATTATGTACACTTTAAAGCTTCGTCGATTTTTTTCCCCCCCATGTGCCCCCGGTGTGCGAAAAGGTCGTCTGGTTCGTCCCTTTCAAAGTACAAAGACGGGTGAGGAGGCCAAACATGAAGCAACAGTGAATGTACAGGGCGGGGATCAAACTGCAACAACTGATAACAGCATACACTGACAACATCTTTCCTGTCCAGTAACTGAGAATCAAACCAAAAAAAGGCTGGCATGTCAGCGATAGAACCAGCATCTTGCCGCAAGAAATAAAAAAGGCAAAAATGAAAACAGCCGTCACCCACAACGGCGCACGATATCAGGCAACTTTTCTAACCTCCCTCCACAAAAATAAAAAAATAACCTTGCACCTGACCAGAAGGAAACAATGCCACGAAGCAAAGCCGGGAGGAACAAAAAAACAAATCACATTCCGCCATCCCAAAATCACCAGCGGGCGCGAAAAGTGTCTCTTTCAGGGGGAAATAGCAACGCACATGCACACAGGATATCACGAGAGAAAGTCCCAGCAAATGGCAGCAGCACCGCAGGAGCTCTACATAGAAAACTACGACAAGCAATCTCTCCTTCCGGCAGCCTCCTCTTTTTTTTTTTTTTTCCTTTTTATTGCATAGCCTGCTCTTAGAGACCGCAGCTGAGGCCTAGAGCTATCCGAATGCAACCAGTTACCAAACAAATCACCAGACAGGGAGCGGTCATACTTCCAGGCGAAGTCATCACGGCGTGCATATCTAACGCTACACCTGAAAGCCGGCAAACACCTGAAGCTGGAACGAGTCGACACGCCAAAGCGCCTCGTAAAAAAAGAAACAAGAAAAGAAGCTGCTCCAACAAGAAAAAGAAAAGAAAAGAGTTGCGATGGCCGGGAAACGGAGATTTTGAGCAGCAGGCAGTATAGACAGACATTGGCTGAGGGCAGTACGTCTACGTTCCTGCGGACAGCTTGGGTTTGCGTTACGAAATGGGGGCAGGAAGAGTCTTGCGTAAAAAAATACCGAGTCTTGATATCGTTACAACCTGTCTCACTACCGCCTCACCGGGATTCGAGAAAAAGAAAAAAAGAAATAAAGCTTGTCGACCTGCAAACAACACACTTGGCAGGCGCGCTCACCCCGCCCAAAAATTGTGCGTTTCGTGGTAGGGAAACGGGAATGAGCGGGCCAACACACACACCGTCACTTGGGCGTCGTCAAAACGGAGCACACTATGCTCCATTTCGGCACACAATGCTCGGAGAACAAGATCTCTGCCTCTGCTCTCGCCGACAACGAGTTATGTACATATACACGACACCGACACGGAAAAGACGCACGAACCACTACGGCAACCGACGGAACAACACACTTCAGATGGCATGAGATGCATGATGTGAACGAACGTATCGATGAAGGGCGATCTTTGTACTTGGCCAAACCGACACAATCTTTGCTGTTTTCTTTTAGCATTCCATCGTTTCATGACGAGCAACACGGCACCCAAGAAAAGAAAACAACACCGGTTCACTGCTTGCTTGGCTCGATCGGAACACACGACAATTGAGTTTGGTCGCGATCAACGAAAAAAAGAAACAGCCAAACAAGAACAGAGTGGGCAACCGCTCGGAGAAACATCACGACAATGATTGCTAAGACCACGACTACTGGGGGAAAAAAAATGAGGGGGACGAGGAAAAAAAAACAAAAAAACCGACAACCCTAGGCTGGTTTCCAATAGGGGAGGGAAAACAAACACCTCAAAATAGATATACAAAAACACAACGAGGGGTGATAAACTATGAAAACCAACGGTGCCCTGCGCACACTGAGCAACTTGCAGCGCACCGAGAGGAAAAAAAAAGAACTAATAAGAAGGGGGTGAAACTAGTGAACTAGATCGGAAAGCCCGTCCCTCGCTCGCCGCCCGAAGACAAAATAGAACCAAAAATGAAAAAGAGGTTCTGTCGGAGCATGTGGGCAGGCGCGACCTTGAAAAGCCGTACCGGCTTCCCGGGGCGCCCTTCGCCGGCGAACGGAACAAACAGGCGCATGGAAGGGAGGGGGGGCCGGGAGACGCTGCGGTCGCGCGACACGTATCCAACAGAACAACACCGACAGAAACACCCGGCGACAAACAATCGCGCAGTTGGGGGGATAAAACTCGGGAAGGGAAATGAGAAAGTTACCTGGATCCTCGGAGGCCAGGCGGACACTCGGGTCCAGGTAAACAGCACGCACTCGGAGAAGAAACGAGCTCATACCCTCACGTATGTGTTCAGCGGCTTGACAAAGTGGTAGTCCGTGGCACCGCAGTGGGCGCAGCACACGCTGTGGCTGTAGTCGCTGAAGTACTGCAGCGACCGGTCCGCGCCGATGACCAGTTCGTGGCAGTTGGTGCACCGGAGCCTGAACTCGCAGCACGGCGTGGCGGCAAAGATGTCGTACGCGTACATGGTGCCCAGAATGAGGTGTCGGCCGTTCCAGCGCGAGCCGCAGCCCCGGCACGCTAACCGGCCCTGCCAGCCCTCCAGGCACGTCATGCAGACGGCGTTCAGAAACTGCGGCCGCTCGTCGATGCGCACTTGGACGGCGCCCGCGCTGTGCTGTCGCGGGGACAGGAACAGCGTGCCGTCGACCAGGGGGTACCGGTCGAACACGTTCATCTGCGTGTGGCACAGGATGCACGGGATGCGGGACATCTTGTTGGCCGTCAGCGTGGACAGGATGAAGCAGCGCATGTCGTCCGAGCCGCCTTCGTCCTCCATCTTGATGTTGTACGAGTTGATCTTGTGCCAGGGCAGCGTGTTGAACGACGAGTAGTCCTGGCGCCGGCAGAACAGGCCGCCGGAGCCGTGCCGCTCGCGGTCCGGGAAGAACGCCGTCGATCCGCGCTTGGCGTGCGTCGGCGACGGCGGGAACTCGGACGACGAGCTCGGCGGCGAGCCTCCCGAGCCCGTGCTCGACATGCTCGAGCTGCGTAGCCGCGTCACCGGCACGCCCGGCTGTGGCACCTGTCCGGGCTTTGCCGCGGCGGTTGCGGCGCCGTTGAGCGACAGCACGGGCTTGTCGTTGGCCCTCTTCTTGCGCTGCTTCTTTTTCTTGTCGTCTCCGCGCGCGGCGGCCGGCGGCGTCCAGTCGAGGTCCTTGCGCAGGTGGCCCTTGCCGCAGCGGCAGCCGCACGCCTTGTACGCCAGGTCGTAGCCCTTCTTGGTCCAGAGGTTCTGCATGCGCTGCTTCTCGCTCCACGAGCGCGCGCGTCCCGTCGAGCGCAGGAAAGTGAGCACGGAGCTCTCCCACTCGTCGAAGCAGAGCCGGTGCATGTACTGGCCCTGCGAGCACTGCTCGTTGTTGCAGATCACCTTGACGGTGTTGTTCAGGTCGTCCATGTGGATCACCTGCTCGAGGTGACAGCCCGTCGGGACGCAGCACGCCGACACCAAGTTCTCCATGACTGCCGGGAACCGGGCGGGGTGATACTGCGGCGCCGCGGCGGCGTGCTCGTCCGGCCGGACTACTCGATTCTCGCGGTGCTGCGGCATCCTTGGCGCTTTCCTCCCTCCGCACATCCACGAGGTTCGGCTTGGCGAAAGAGCGCTCACAACATTCGACCTGCCTCGCCGGCTGCTGCTCGCTGACTAGACGCGGACACTCGCAGAGATCGGACCAAGTAGCCAAGTTGCGCGTTTCGACGCCGCTGGCAAACAAACGCGACTGTCGTCGCCAGGAAACTTTCCGAGCGGCGTTGAAGCAGCGTGCAGGGGCGTGGCCCTGAGTGGCAGCGCCGCCAGCGCTCCTATTGGCCCAATCGTGCGACGCGCGATTTTCGCCCTCTCCCATTGGAGGAGGGCCTCCCCGGCTCGTAGCACTCGTGCGAGCGGCTATGGACGCCCGAGCCGCAACGCGTCGACGCGGACGCCACGAGGCGCCGTGTTTTCGGCGTTTTAGAACCGCTTTGCCGGCTTTGCTGGCTTTGCAGCCAATCTCGCGTGTCGTAGCGCTCTCGCGGAATCGGTGCGATGCATCGTTCTGCCCTGACAACACTCGTCGGCAGTACGGGACGAACGCCCGCCGCGAGAAAGAGTCCAAAGCGGCTCCCGTGCGGGTTTTGCGTCGCCGGCCGGCCGTCCTGCTCACCGGCGCTCGAGCGAATTTGCTCGGCCGGTGTCAGCGATCCACCACGCCGAACACCGGGCACGAGAGAAGGGTTTCGGGAGCGTCATTTTAGGTTCTGTCGCAACGGTCTCGCGTCTGTCAGGGCTGACCTTGAACGACTTGTCCCGTTGTAAACATTGCGGGGGTCTCGTCCATTTCGCGCTCCTGAGGGATGGTGGTGGGTTGGACTTGGAGAGCTGGTATGGTGGTGGTCGTGCCGCCGCTGCCGGCGGCTGCTGCGATAAACATTTCCTGTCGCTTACGCAACACGACTTGGAGTTCCTTCATTTTCTTTTTCTTTTCTATACTTACCTATCTCTCTTTTTTATTTTATTTTTACGAGGAATACTCCGTCTCGTTGGTAAGAAGGCGCAGCAAACCAATTTGGAAGCATCTTTTTCGTCGAATAAAAAGGCGCTCCAAAAATGCCCCCAGAGCCAACTTGCTCTCTCGCTCCCGTTGACTGGGCACGGTGTCGAGGAAGGGGAAATCGAATACGGTGCTAAACAAACCGGCCGAAAGAGAGACAGCCATGACCGTGAAAAACAGGGCCGGATCGATGGTGTGCTCCCGTCTTCTCCGGGTTAGCTAACCAGCCGCCCGTCCTTGCCCAAGAATCATAAAGGCCGGATCGGAGTTCCCCATTGCCGGCTTTGCTCGCGTGCTACAGGCTCAGTTCGCGACGGCGGTGAAGAAGCAGGCGACTCGTGTCGTGCGAGCCCTCGGCCGCTCGTTTTCACGAGCCACTGAAGCCGTTCGCTTGTCTAGAAAGAAAAATTAAAAAAGAAAAGAAACCACGCCGAGTCGCGTTTCCCAGAAACGTAAATAACTGACGCACAACCGACCCGCCGGGTTATTATTGTTCTGCGCTGTACGAATAGGACGCCGAACCAAACAGAAAAAAAAAACAAAAAACGCATCCATGAAAAAAAAAAAAAAAAGACAACACAAAATTGTGTTTACTTCTGCGAGCGGTGGTGCACGCCGTCACCGCAGCAAAGCCTGTTTTGATACGATGAATACGAATCGTCCAGTTGACGAGGTTGACGAGGACAGTTGGTTGACAGTTGACGAGGACGAAAAAAAAAAACAAAAAAGGCGAAGTTGTTTTTTGGAACACTCTCGGGCATAATAACTGCTCTCGTGTCTCCCCGCTTTCGTCGTTAATAATGAATCTTTCTGTGTGTCGTGGCCGACGGGAAGGAACTATACAATCAGGTATAAATCACACCGGCGGCCGGGCGAGCATTCCCCTCTTGGCAGAGCCGGCAAGCGAAAGCGTACCCGGCGATCTGAGGTGACTCACAACCTGGAGGCTCGGCTCACGCCGGCTGCCGGCCGACCGACTCTAGTCCGTAAACACTTCTCGAGCTCTCCAGCGCTCCTCAGAGCGTGCGCTTCCAAAGCTTCAAAGCAAGCAGAACGAAAAAAAGAAAAAGAAAACCCCTGTGACAATGAAAACGGGCTAATCCATCGTCGGCGGCCCACCCGTCTTCGTCACACGATGATTGTGACGTAGCTAACTGCAGCATTTCAGGCATTTTTATTCAGAACCGCAAACGTGCCATGCGTTTCAGACAAACCTACGGTATGCTGGCGCCATCTATCGTAGAAAAAAAAAAAAAAATCTTTTGCGTGTTTGTTTTAGTTTATATTTTTTTCTTTTCCCTCGCGCGCATTAATCCATATATCATATTGACGGCGGATTTTTCTGTCTTGCCAACAACGCCTGCGTAACTCCTTCGGGATCAGCGACCTGTTACAAAAGGATTTTGGCTGTAACTGAGGGCGGAATACTGGATGCTGCAAGCGGCTTAGTTCATATTGCGCACGTTAAATATGCCGTCTTGGCAATGGGCCTGTCTTATGTGGAACAGCTTCAGTTCCCTACGGATGGCAGGAAAGTTCAAGAGAACGATTGCACTGAGTCTGCATCAATCTTCAAAAAATTAACGCGCCGAGAAAGTCTGTTGACAGGTTTCTCAACTTTACCTCCAAAGATACAAGATTAACGCCTTTTAAAAAATGTGAAGCATAATAGTTTGACGAAAATCACCCCTGAAGACCCAAGAAGGACAAATGACAAACCCAAATCTCCAAATCTTTTGCCGCTCTTCGAGGTGTGTGGTTTGCATACATAACTGTAAAAACAACGGCGGCCTTCTTTTTTGTTTTTTTGTTTTGTGGGATCGCAATGTTGTGCATGGTGGAAGGTGACGTAATTCCTACTCGTGTAAAAAAAAAAAAACTACAAAAAACAAATTGTAAAAATATGCAGCCACCAGTGAGGATTGAACTCACGACCCCTGGTTTACAAGACCAGTGCTCTAACCACTGAGCTATGATGGCGACGCTTTTCGGAGGCCTCAAATCTCTTATTGGAAGGTGAGACATTACGAGAGTTGATTTCTTTGCTAAATTAGAAGTGCTTTATGTTGCTTTGAGTACTTTCAACACTGAAGGTCACAAACCTGATAAAGCAGATCATCTATAGGCATGCCACACTGCAAGCGTGATAGAAACACGCATGGGAAGCGTGTTTCCGAAGTTCGACACTTCAATGAAGCCCGAAGATCAGCGATCACGCCAGTGGTGTATAGTAACACCCCGTTTAATTTCAAGCTACGTACTCGAACGTACAGTAGAATCACAACTGCGAGATCGCAGGTAAAATAACCTTCAGGAGTTTGTCCGCGCGGCACAAAATAAACGCGAATTCACGCCGAGTGAGCGAAGCGGAATGTGGAATGGTGGCGCCATCTGCAGTTGGCTTTTGTGATTACAATCGCAATCGCGCGCTTTTACGAATACGAAAAACCCGTCAAAACATTTTTCTTGGTCTAGAAACCGAAACAGAATAAGGGAGAGCAAATAGGCCTGAATAGAATGTACGAGGTCTGGCAGAAAAGTAATTGATTTTCTTTTAACCGTGAATTGTATTCTTTTACACATAAAGGTTATCCTTCCTTAGCATGTGGCATTCAGTGGCCACGTGTGGTCAGGGGCGGATTCAGAGGGGGGGGGGGGTCCGGATGTCCTGACCCCCCTTTTGAATTCTGGATGTGTAAAAATTTAGGGAGTGGAAACGGGAAAGGGGGGGGGGGGGGTCTTAAACATGTGATACGCTGACCAACACCTAACCCCCCCCCCCCCCCCCCCCCCTCACGAAATACCTGCGCCCGCCCCTGCGTGTGGATCATATTTGAAAGCATGTTTGAAAGGTTTGAAAGCGTTTGAAAGGGAAATTGCGAGGAGGATAATAAAGTGGCGAGCGACAAGGGAGGATGGCTTGGGAAAGTTACGTTGCTCACGACATGCCCTCACCGAGTTTTTCGATTCGTCTTCGAAGTAGTTCACTTGGGCAGCTACACGCTACACCCGACGGAGGCGTTATTTCTATTGTTCATAGCAGTGCAGGAAGACTTCCGCTGGAATGCCCTTTAGCCCGTCGGTTACGCTCTCCCCATTGGGTACAACAAGCCAGTACAAGCGGCGCCAAATTCAGAATCCGGAGGGACTTCTGAATTTGGACTCTGGAGCCATTTCCGAAAACTCTGTGGCCACTTGACTTTGTCCAATATTCGCCGCCGTTTCCGAAAATAAGTGGTGCACCCCCGATTACCCCTGGAACAGTGCTCACCAAATAAAAAACAAAGCAAAAATTCTGTATAGGGAATGAAAGGACACCACAAAATATTGGGTTAAAATTACTTGCACTTTCTTTGAAAGTACATTTTATTTACAGTACTTTACTTGAAGTACATTGTACCCAGTGTACTTACTACTTTACTTGAAGCACATCACCTTTCACCTGTCATTCATTTTGTACTTTACTTGATGTACATCACCTCTAATTTACTTTGTACTTTACTTAAAGTACTTTTTCTATGTACTTTACCCAACACTGGCCCTGGATAGGAAACGATCTACATCAGCCCATTGTAACTTTTCTTAAGTCAGAGTAGCGGATTAACCAAGCTTTACACAACATTTGATGGCACAGCGTTGCTCAAAATTTTCCCTGGTCCATTTTCGTAACGCACCTCACAAACACAACTTTACTTGGGACGCTCTGAACAATCCCGTATCAACTGTAACAAGTTCAAAGTTATACTGAGGCCACGTCAGGGGTTAACCTTACTGCCACGTGAAGGGGGAAGCAGCTGCATTGTCGGTTCGCGCACAGTGTTGCCAGTCTCATTACTTTTGTGCCACACCCCGCATGCATGCTGCGTGTGGTCTACACCAGAAGTCTCCAAACATCGGCCCGCTGGCCAGATCCGGCCCCCGGATGTTTTCCGCCCGTTCCGCGCCTGGTCGCGGTCCTTCCACATGAAGCTCGGCCCGCAGCCCGTTTCCAGCAGGTCCGCTGCTACCGGCGCAAAAATAAGTGCGCGTGACGAGGGGGCGCCGAAACGCGCTCCGTACGCGTAAACGAATACACCGGAAAGAATGAGAGAAACTGCAACACGGGTTTTCTCGTCAGATTATTCATTGAACGATGTCAGCATCACCATTCTTAGCCACTGCTTCATGTCTTTGTACTTTGCATTCTCATGTACATTGTACTTAGTGTCCACTGTCACAACTATTGCATATTGTCAACATTAGTTTTAATATTCTCATTAGTCTTTTGCAAAGTGTTGGGAAGTACTTTAAGTACACTGCACTTCAAGTAGGAGTAGGAAATTTGTGCTTTACTTGATGCACATTTTCTGAGCATGTACTTGTACTTTACTTAAAGCATATTTTCTGGTACTCTCCGAAGAAACTACAACGTCAGGCTTCAAAGTACATTACCCAAATTTTGTATTGTTAAATTTGTTCCACAAAATTATGTTTTGTCAACTCCAGAGAAATACTGGGAGGCATATCCTACTTCGCCTGAAAGACAAGACGACGCATCGCTCCGTTTGTACCTGGGGCGGTTTTTCCACAGCATTTCGAACTCTCGCTACTTCTCGATCGGTCACCACAAGTGGGGAGGTTAAAAATATTAGGAGAGTACATTCCTCCACGAGAGGATTGCTTGCGGAAACTACGGGGCTGACGTCATGCTCTCTCCTAGTACGTTTAAGCTAGTGTTGTGCGA